ATATGTATATATATATGTATATATATACACACATATATATATATATATATATATGTATATATATACACACATATATATACACATATATATATATACATATATTGAGGGGTGTGAGCTGTAAGGCTCAACTGAATAAATTTAATGAGCAAATAAATATTTATTCGCTCGTTGGGGTTTCTTTTGATACTTTTCCATAAAAATTTACAACTTTGAAGTGTTATCAAACGATAGCACGCAATTATTGACGAGGAGATCATAATCTATTCTGTTCGAAATAATGCCTTTAATACGAAATGTTTATGTAGAGCACCAAAGTGTCACATTAACATATTTCTAGCTTAGGCCCAACTGTAGACGTGGCTCCATTATGATACGCGTGAATTTCAGGCAGCAGCCAGGTAATTCATACAATCAATCGGAAACAAACTCTGGTATTCCAACGTCTAAGCAGTTAATTCATTTTATGCTCAAGATTTTCTGCATCCTGAGGCTCAATCAACTGCAGTTTAGCAGCGGGAACTTTCTCATAGTAGATGATTTTTCGAACAGGGATATTTAATTTACAACTAGGCTAAAAATAAGCGGCAAAGTAGAAAAACGCATTGGTGACCCGAATATGTTTTTACACTGTTTAACTGGTGGTCGTAACTTATTGATTATTCTCTCTTTTTAAAGTGTAGGCAACTAGAAATAATGAGCAGACCAAGAATAGTTTTTGAATAAAGAAAATGTCCTGGAAAATGCTATTGGAAATGAGGACACAGAACTGAAGAGCAAGAATAATATCGCGAAAAGTTTTAGACAAATCCACCTATGCGGCCTACAGTAAATCGGATAAAAGATCACTTTGAAACGGATAGAAATGGATGTTCAACTTTCCGGAGGGCCATGAAGAGCAATGAAAAGTTCTAGCCTAAAAGTTTGTGAGACAATCGAATTGTTCGTAAGTAAATTTTGAAAGTTATGTTTAAACAATGCTGTATTCCAACTTTGTGAATAACAGTTGAAAAAAAAATATAACCAGGATGCAGTTTCTAAAAAACACTCTATGGAGCAATGAAACTATATAGTCGATATAAATCGCACAGTTCATCGACGTACTTGCACTAATACTAAGCAGCGTTAAGTTAATATGTTTACCAAAAATTACAGTTTATTCATTATAAGCTAAAAAGGTTAGTTGCACTACTTGTTCTTCGATAGTACAGTGTGGCTAGTGCCATTTACTTGAGTGTACTACTTTTAACTTGAGTTTGTGACGCATTCGGGAAAACTTGAACAACGATCGCGAATTATCATTATGATTTAAGGACATATTTCGATGGAAATCTTCCCAACAGATAGATCGAACGAACGAAATAGCTTCGTGGGATAACCTGCCCATTCTCCGAGCCTGACGCCAGTAAAGTTTTTTTGTGGGGGGAGGGGGGGGGGTACCTTAAAAATAAAGTCTACACCAGAGAACCAATGATACTGGAGGATTTATCTGTTACAAGAAGACGCCGAAACGCCAAATGAAATCTTTGTCGAAGTTTGTGAGTCGGTTGCCAGCGATGTACTGAGTTCAACGGTAATAATTTGGAACATTATCGGTAGGGGAAAAAGTACACATCTTATATATATTCCTCTACAATCTAAATTATGTATTATTTAAAAAAGGAAGTTACTATATAGACTTTTTAAAACACACTTTACATATATATATATATATATATATGATGGGGTGTCGATAGAAAAGGTTTTTGTGCGCAAAGGCATTTTTCTAGGAGGAATATCAAGCGTTCGTATCGCATTTTATCGCTGGAAATTAACATGGGATATATATCACTTACTTAGAAAATATGCGTTCGCGTAAATACGAGAAAATTTACACGAGGAAACGATATAAATTTTAAACCAGTTAGGTAAGTATAGCTAGTAGATTAAATAAAGCTTTAAGGTAATCTTGCATGATATTTCTGCCTTAGAATAAAAACTGCATAAAACATATCCATATCACCAACAATATACAAGCTGTACGCAAGTATATAAATATAATAGTTATAGAATTCTTTTGCTATCCTCAATGGTCATGTAAGCTTTACTATGAACGACGAGTTCCGCTAATACTGATTGGAGTGTCCAGTGGGAAACCAGCACGTCAGACGAATATTTGTTTCAACTTCTCTGTACTGTAGCTGAGAAATGCTTAAGGGAACGCAATGCGCGTGTACGATGTGCCAAAATATACAGTTTGCTCCTCGATTATTTGATCGATTCCGTTAACGATAGACATGTTTAGGTGTATAGTTATGTATCCGAGTAATAATTACTAGTACTTTTTTTTTGTGTATCTGCGGCACGCTATCTTGGATTTGCTGCTGCAAACAAGTTATTTAACTTCGCATGATTTTATTGCTCTAAATCGAACTCACCAACAACGATGACGACGACACATTTCATAAGCCGAAATCTCCGCCTGATCTAAACTTAAAATATTGGTTGTAATTAAGAAACTCTCGCGCTTTGTATGAATTGCGATTGTATAAAGATCCTACCAAGCCCGATACAATTGATATTCGCTCAATGGTCTATCGGAAGTTTTCTAATCCGATGGGGCAAATCATAGTTACGAATGCACTAGGAAATATTTTTGTTTGTACTACTAATTTCTCCGTAGTAGTTTACCTGACGGTGACCATTACCTCGAGCTTGTCGATCTCGTGCGAATCGGTACGGTTTTATCAAGCCGAAACATAATAAAGAGCTGCTTTTGATAGGCCGCAATGCTAGAATAAGCAGCTCAACGTTGAAGATTTTTTGTGTTTTCTAGAAATTAAATTTAGAACGTTGTTTTTAGGCAGTTTTTCTCGCTTTCTTCACATCAATACTTTTAATACGTATATATTATTTTAACAAATCAGCATAATATTTATGAGTATGGTAGCATCGTTCTAATTACCAGTACTGTTATATCCACCTGGGCCAGCTGTACGGCTGGGCACAGAACATTTCTTTGTGACCAGCATCACCGCCATGTTGTAAATTGTTCTCCTAGGTTCTACTATCCGGCTGCGTTAGATTTCGTTAGAATGGAACGCGAATCTGCTACTATGTAGATCGGAGGTGCCTGATTCAAGTCCTGCCGATGCTACAAAATTTGTTCACTAAAGGAAAATACAGTTACGACAGAAACAGCTGTTAGGCCAAAGAGAATAAGGAAATTTCTTTTTTGGCGACTCGTGGTGTGGTTAGACATTCAGATGTTTGACCTTTATGTTTTTTCATGCATGGGCAGAGTTCCTGATTTACAATTTTGTATAATCATTTCGTCATGAAAACAACATTCTGCTCATGGTTGTTACTAGATGACGTCGTGTCGATGATACGCAGTATTGCAAATGCAACGATTAATCAATACCATGCAGAAAATCGTTTGAAACTAACTATTTTGCAATAAACATGTCAAGCTTCGTCATTTATGTGGTCTTTAATAACTCTGTTATATCGAGCGATAGTAAAACAGGGGAGGTAATGGCAGACAATATCTTTAACAAAAGCTCTTTAGGTGAGAAGTTGGCAATGTGCTGTTTTTCAATGTTAAATTTAATGAACGACAAAATGATTGAACGTCTGTAAGATAGCCCTTGACGGCTCTTACCAGCAATTGAGTTGACATATATAAGTGGCACCAGATCACTGCTCGTGCCTCAAATCGCTTTTTCTTCCTAACTTTATTGACTACGTCTTTAAAAATATAAAGTACGCCTACATTTGTTTGGTTAACTCCAAATTATAGTAGTCTATATACAAGTGACACCAGGACAAATGCTCGTGCAGTTCTCTACGAATGTGTAAAGGGATGTAAGGTATCTAGCTGTAACGTAGAACTCCTACAATAAGCAATACAATCGAATATGGCTTGAAGAATGATCTCTGATGGCTAACTCCCAGCACGATGGGATCATGATTAGGTCAAATGGCTTAGGCTTTTCTAGTGCGTTTAGCATTAGCACGCCCTCATTTCTTTACAGCCATGAGTTTTCATCACTTCTCTCCAATAGAAAGTATGTGGTACAAGTAAAGGCCACTGACATTCTACTTGTATCTGTTCTTTTATATATAAAGGTTCAAGCGAAACAAAACAAAACAACCAATGCGCTCCCTTCGATATTCAGTGTGTGTATGAGGACTAGTAATTAATTAATTGATTAGGTAAATCCGCACAATGCCATTTTCTAATATTAGTCCATATGTTTTTTAGAAAGGGGCAGTATTACTGGATTTTTGTGATCATTGGAGCGGGTCGCTTAGTAAGACAGGAAAAAGAACTTCTTGAACCCTTCGCTTTGCCTAGACCCCAAAATCCTGCCATTTAGAAATCCGTATTTCGAATTTAGCGCTGCTTGCCACTGCGGAGTAAAGGAATAAACACTCATTGTGTTTATTACTCTTTTGACAGAACTTGATAAAAGAGTAAACAATTATAGCACTAGTCGCGTAGCAATTCATACAAGCGAAATGTTCAAATTGTTTTCACAGGCAACGAATTGCTAGCCTTGTGCATGAATCGAAAAATAATTGCTGCATTGCGACCGATGCCCTCAGCGGTTTGTGTCCGGGAAAGGAGGTTCACGAGACAACTAAACAACAGTCTACTCTAATAACTTCTTTGTCTCTTATCGAGTAAATATAGTATACGTATGTACTTACAGTATGATCCCATATTATAGCTCTTTTCCAGTTTGGCCAATGTAATCAAAATAATTACGTAAACATTTTATGGTTCGTTTTTTAAAGAATATTATATAATATAGCATGATCGATAAAGTATTTAAGGGATCCCACTTGGTGTACACCAGCGTAATCCTCCATCACGGAGGGCAACCATTTCAGTGACACTGGCAGTAGACCGGTTCCATTCAGTTGCCATTCTCCCCTTTCCGAACGAAGTCAATTATCATTACTTGATACCCACATTAATAACCAAAACTATTTACAGTTGAGTAACGCGCAAATTGTTTGCCCCCTTATCCGTAAGGAAGTCCTGACGAGCAGCTGAGAGCCCATTTACGGTCGTAATTGTTAATAAAACCTGTATTCTGTATTTGAAAGTAGCCGTGCGGGAGGTATTTGTTACTTTGTCGCAATGATAACGCAGTGGGTGGGAAATTCATTATATTAGTAGACGTTCTTCTTTTCAATTTACTTATAGCACATTTATACTAGCTAAATGGAGGGATCACAAAACGAAGATAGGTATACATTGATGTTGATGTTCACTCAGTCTGCGATTTAAGGAGTATCGCAATCAAGGCCACATTTTCAAATGCGAGGCGGTCGCGCTGAGCCTAGATACACTATCCGAAAACCTTATTCAAGAAACACAAGCCAACGGAGTGTCAAATAAAATGGATGCTGTTAATTTTCGGCGTGTATCAATACATAGGTGACACGTTAGTGAATAGTTTTAACAATAGCAACAATAATTTTAACAACAATTCAAAGCAATAGTTTCTCAGTGGCAAATTATATACGTACATTAATAAACAGAGCATCATTAAACATAATAACGATCTCAGTATACAGACCGTTTCTAGAATGCTGTCGCGTTCATATGTAGCGGTGTCTTCATAGTCTTATAATAACTAGATACAGTTAGGCGGATTTTATTAAGATTCTTACCTTTCATTGTGGAGTAAGAAGCATTCAAATCAAGAGAAGCTAAACAGAACTGTCGTCTAACAACCAGGTTCAATACGTGTGTATCAAACCCAATCGACCGGGCCACCTCCTTACGTACATATATATATGACGATTTTTCACGACCTGTATTTACTTAACTGAGTGGCTAAATTGGAAAAAATTAATGAATACATTTCAAATCGTTCTTCCTTGTCATTTGTTTATTTTCACTTCATATCACCTGCACCTAGAAATGAATGTTAAACTAATCCAAAAACCACCAATCGCCAACTTAGCAAAGCATGAACAAGGGGCTACTACCTGATAGGATGCATTCAAGGCGCCATAATCGCGAAGATGTCCGCTCTTCTTCTGTAGCAAACGCTTCTCTTGCCCTACGTAAAGCTAAAAAGCACCTCTTCTGGATTCGACCCCAAAAAAGTAACTTACAGAGACATAAATTGTCGATTTACAACGAAACAAGTTATTACACTGTTCACTTATTAAAACGTTGCCAGGTGATTTCTTGCCGTACAACGACGCTTGAATTCAGATCAGCAAATGTCTTCCCTGTGTGGGACCAGGTCGTTTGCCATGGTGTAAAAACTGCGGTCAGTCCTTGACATTGAAAACGTGCCGTTATGCTAAACTGGGCTACGAGTCTTTAACCATATTGATTTAAATTCTGTATAGCACGAGTGCTTTCTTCAAATACAATTAAGACTTCCAACCCAATATGCAATCGTATACTTTGCTAAAATCTGTCATTATGTACTCGCTACTCTAAAATAGCTCAGTGTGTTAATTAGCTATGTTCAAATTATATTTCCGATAGATCATTTCATTTAACAAGATCAAGGGGAAACTAACATAACATTATGATAAACTACTTTTGGTATTATATTTAGCTATGTGGAATAAAAGCACGGCTCGGTGACAGGGGCACAAAACAGATGGTATATGAACTGATTTTCATTTTCAATTATGAAGGCCTATTTTTCATATTTTCTCTATGCCGACTGTTTCTTGCTTCGGATATCGCTTCATCAGCCCACAATCAACAATACGCTTTAAAACGTCTGTTATCAGAACGAACCAACTTGTACTTATCATTTTATCTAATGGCATGCGAACCCCAAAACGCTAAGTGCTTTAATATCTTAGAAAAAGTTAGGTTAGGATTTAATCGTTTATTGGATGTATACTGAGCAGAATGATGGAGTCGCGACAAAAGATTAGATAAGCTGTGCTTGCGCATGGGCCTGTGGGCATCCCATCCTATTGAAACAAAAGACAAATTGTCAGTAGTATTTTAATACATTTGATAACAAAAAAAAAAAAAATAGGCGCTTTTCGAATAAAATTTGATTTGATAGCGATCTCGATTCGACACACATTTCCTTCATCAGCAGTTTGGTTATTTTATCCGAGGTTAGCATTTTCCACGTGGTTACGCTCTGTAGCGGCTTCATCTGATTCGCTTTCGGCTGCTCTACCTCTGACGACGTTTTTCGATTTGTTATTGTTGCCGCCCGAATTCTTCTGACGTTTCTTAGCCGAACGCAGACGACTAAGGGCATTAGTGACAATACAGAGATCGCCCCTTAATTCCGAAACGAGCCCAGCGATCCTTTGCGTATTTGAAAGCACCTCAACACTCTGTGTGTACGGGTTGTAACGAAGGCCAAATGGCCGCTTAATTGTTTTTGCAAATTCCCTATAATACCAACAAACATAATGAGTCTTCATCCATGTAGTCTACAATGGCAAGCATTGCAGTGCAGCTTTACAGTGACAGGATATATGACATACTGTTCGAGCACAGCGAAGGAATCGAAATATTATTTTCCTATATTTTTCTGTAAGCAACCCGCTGAGATCAGGAAGTCTTACTACTATGCCTTTTGTCATCCAAAAAAACAGTGCAGAATACAGTGTTAGAAAAGGGCTAACAATCGATACAATTAAGTTAACAGATAAGTTAACAGAGGTCTTAAGTGAAGCATTAAAAAGTTTTACTTACCGCATTTGCTGTTTTGCCTCGTTAAAACTGTCCGTGTAGAAATACATTTTCTGAAACGTCGTTATCTGTGGCTCTGCCTCACAAGTGACGTTCGGGTCAAATGGAAGGATATTTGCATTTGATGTCAGGACCTAAAAACCGAAATACAGGAGTTGTTAAGTTTCTTGAGCCTAGGCCTATTCGGCAAAAGAACTTCATTATAGTAATAGGTATGAAATAAAACATTACAACAAAGATTGACAAATTCTATGGAATTCACGTTAAAATTGCACGCCTCTTGATGAGTAGCAACGAATCAAATGAATATCTTCGTTATTTATTTGTTTTTCGATGAGTATATTGCATTAGCTTGTTATTAACCAAACGATTTCGACAAGTACCCTGTGTGTAACGACGTAATTAAGTTAAATAATGCCAAACAGAGCGATACGTTGCAATACCACTTACGTGTTCCAATTCAGACGCTGACGACAGAAGGCCAGCACCATAAATCTTCATCTCGCCATTTTGTTGACACAAGCCAAATTCAACCGTGAAAAAATAGCATGTCGCCAGTTTGTCCACCTGGTACACAAGCATATAGTCGAATTACTACGACAAAATCCAACCAAGTGTACAAGTAATGTATTACCAGCTATATGATGGCAGGATGCGATGACAGTGGATACGATCTACTTCTATCATACACTTGTCGTTAGTATATGCTGCAGGGTAACAGTAACGATGACCCTCTTTGCGGTATAATGGTATCGAGCGAGTCAGCATATTCCAAATAGATGCCACTGCATAAAAATAAGCCCCATATTTAAGTTGCGTTTACGTGTGCAGCCCTTCAAGCTTTTGTTTACGAATTGTTCAGCACCAAAACAGTTAACAACAGGCAACAACGAAAAATGAACATTTTCGTCTCGATTCAATTTCATATATATATATATATATATATATAGTTGTCGCCGTGTTCGTCGACGTTAATGGGCCAATCGTGTGCATATTTGTACCTCGGCATCGGAAGCTCCGAGGGAGGCGAGTCCGAGTTCTTGAGAAAACTGTGCGAACGCAGCATCAGCAAGCATAGGACAATGCCCTAATAGCTCATGACAGCAGTCACTGAAAATTGACATTATTTTCATTAATATTGCGCCAGATTAAAAAACAGATGTACTCTTTCGTAAAATTTAAGAATAGCTAAGCAATTACCCAACTAATTTTATTTGACAAATCCGAAAATAGGCTTGTAACCTATCTTTCAATAAGGTGGAAAAAATGTTTAATTTGTAGCTAAATAAAGCATTATGATTTCGAATATGTAATTGAATAGAGGTCAAACTTACGGTTCTGGTGTGTAAAATGGATCCGAGCTATGTCTAATGTATTGTGTACAATGAAACACGCGAAATGCCAGTCCGGATAGAAAATCTCGTGCGGATAGGTAACCCGCGACTGGACGAAGGGTAAAACCCGTACGTTCTGGCATAAAATATAAAAGATTGCGTTATATAATGATCTTATTTTATATCCTATAAGGTAGTGTTTCAGCAATGCAAATGTATAAAGCTAGAGAAATATAGCAATGTAAAGAAATGTTATTGTGCCTTTCTTTGTCATTTGTACATTCAAGCTTTTCGAGAGCATTCAAAATGAGGCGCCACTTGATTGACGATTATTAAAATAGGCTGACACCATTTGCCTTAGTCTTAAAATAAGTATTCATTTACTAATTTATACAAAACAAATTAGTGCTACAAACCAACCTATTTTTCATCTTGCAATGGTTGGAAGAAATATACGATTTATTGCCTTTGGCCTTAAATTACACGGCCTTGAATACGTTACGATTACAGTATTAAAGTAACAATATTGACGCTTTTTTCACAGCTGCCTTTCAGACAGGAATTAGGAAACTGCTTCAGGGACTTGTCAGCGTAGAAGGCTTACTACAAGTAATACGGAAGACGGAAGAAAAATTGAAGAAGAACCACTATAAAATGCGTTTCCTCTTTTATTGTTCGAGTTAATCTTATATGTGACTATCTATAATCTATTCTATATATGTGTCTAATCCTATCTAGCCAAAACATTTACGCTAGTCAAATGTAATCGCTTAATCTATTTCCTAAATCTCTCAAGTAAAACAGGCCGCACTTAAGTACAACCCAACAATATGGTGTCGATAGCACAGAAGCCCCATTTGCGAGAGGCGTACCTTTAAGAAAGTTGCTAACATCCTCAAGTTGCGGAATATCGTCTTCCCGATACCATTTGTATTTTCGGAGTAGGTTAAAATTGTCAAGAAACTCGCGACAAGCATGAGTCTGGTAGAGGGTGCTCAATTTTTTGAAGATACAACGCCACGTATTTTTTTCCTCATCGGTGTACTCCACGCGAGAAATCGGATGGCCACTGAAGGAAAGCAAAATTAAGGTTTCATTAGGATATATCGTCCCCCAGATCTTTTAGTGTCATAACAAACGTGCAACAGGAAAGGCATTTTGTTAGTAACGCATTCTAGATAAGCTTACTGCAGTAACAGCTCAATGGTGATTCGATTCCATCAAAATTATAAGTATGAGATTATAAAAACGAGAAATCTACATTTAAAAAAAACATTTCTCGTGATATGTTAAAACAAAATGAAAAATTAATAATTTTTCTGTGTTTTATGTATGATCACTTCGGATCTGTTTGATTTAGAGCGATTGAATGATCGTGTCTCACCTACGATAGCTCATCGCCAAGTCACAATAGTACAATCTGCGCTTGCGATAAACCTGGTCCTTAAATCCTGGGTGATCGGCGTCCAGTTCACGACCGTACATAAGCACTCGGTTGGCGGTTCTGTCGAGATCGGAGATTTTACGAGGAAACCAAGGCATTCCCTCAAATAATTCATGGCTTGCCTCAGCTGAAAGGTCTTCCTCATCCAAGGGAGGTGACATGGGCTAATTTTTGGCAAATTGGTACAAAAAAATAGTTGCCTACTTAGTAGTATATAACGAACAGTACAAAAAGTACATTTGTTTTCTTTCACTATACTTTACAACTAATATTGGATTTATTGAAAGCATATTCTAATGAAAGTTGACCGTAGCTTGAGCACTAGGCCGAGTCTCTATATCTTCTTTATTATCTTTTAAAAATGTATTTATTATACGCAAAAATTGCACAAAACTGTACTGTTTTTTTTGACTCTTTACAGAGGAAAGGCTTCTAGACAAGCTAACAAATCTTTAATTACATTTTTCTTTCAATATTTTTTATACAACTTGCTCCCTATTTCTAAGCGTACGTATTCATTGCACGAGGTCTTCACTAGCAATTTTGAACTTACGCTGTTCGTGGCGTCGTTATTATCGAAGATTGCGTCGTTTTCATGAAACTGTTTAAGGTCCACGCAGTCGACTTCGTGTTCAAGGCCGTGCACGAGTTGGCTCATTGTATCAGAATCGCAATCGACCGATACGAAGATCTCGTATTGCGATGGGTTTCTTTTGCTTTTCCGTGATTCGATATGGTGGACATGTACGTTTTTTTCCTAAAGCGTTCCAGCGACGTTGGACATGAGACGAAAATGAATATTCACCATAGAACAGACGAAAATAGAAGATATAGGAGAAGTCTGGTATAGGAGAGTATCTGATTTGAAAAGGATTCGAACTGATCCTAAGATTCAACTGATAGGATTCTATAGGTTACGTGCCTTGAAAACACGCAGCGCTCGAACCAATCCCCCGACCTGGTTCCTCAAGGAAAACACAACTGCCTTGGAACTTGGCTTGCTAGCTGAATCCCCTACAAAGTTGGCGAAGTCGCACCTTCCAGCTGGAACACCGACCGTACTTTCGTCATCGGCTGACCCACTCGTGCTTTGCCATAACACGGCATCATCTAAAAAAACGTCACCATAGTGTTCTTGACAGCAACTTTCCCCACAGGATTGTTTGCAGGAAGGAACTCTCAGAACCAACTGACCCCTTCCCGAAAGCTGATCATGGCCAATAAATGTCGCAATTCAATGTAGTGACGAAATAATCGAGACTAATCGGAGATATTATTGAAAAAATTAAAGCAAGTTCATTAGAACGGACATCGGCTACGCAGCACACAATTGAACCAGTTGTGTCAGTTTTATTTCTTAACATAATAAAGACGAGACAATATGCTTCAGTGAGGGTTTATGATCGAAGAACTATTAATGGAATTGCGAATTTAGCCAAAAAAATGTACTTTTCTTCATAAATGGTTAATAATATAATATATATAGTTATAAGCTAACGCTTGCATACACATCTAGGAAAACTCTCTCTCCAAAAGTGTATTTTTAGCAGCAAAAAAGGAAGGTACACACAATCAGCAAACATGCTTTGATTGAAACTGAAATCAAAGGTTTCTTTATGCAATTTTTCGATCGTTAGCAGCTTGAGGTTAAAACAAAGCTGTTTTAGTCTAAGTTCGATTTGAGCTCGACATGAATATTTAGAATTCTGTGCTCTGTGTCGGCATTTTAGGTGTCCATTAATACACGTAAACAGATCCGTTGTTTCTACTTGCCGTACGTCCTGATCGGTCTCGTTACAGATGCATCCGCGGTGGGTGAATTACTTTCTTCAGAACTTTCAGCTTCTTCCTTATCTGAGTCGTGAATGATGATCTTACTCTTTATTGACACGTTGCACCATAACACGAGGTGACACATCAATCAACCAATCGCGGAGTTCATTACGTTTTATGTTTGTTCTTTTACCCCAGTATTTATATGTTGCTCGACATCAAAAAAAACAAAATTTTATGATACATAATTTTTTTTTTTAGCGTGAGTGACGTTCGTAGAAATTGTATGACTTAAGAGGCGACCTCTAGTTTCTTTTTGGATCATTTAGTACTTCACTTAGGCTTCTTGAAGCATATTTCTACATATTGTGACTCAAATTTGAGATACATTTATGAGAAATCATTGAAATCACTCGGAGAATTCTACTCGTGTGAAATAAACAGACGCCTACCATATGATAGCCCAAGATGCCTCTAGAAGCGTAGGCCGTCACACGCGTATCCGTGCGACCGATAAACCCATAGCACATTCTCAGTCTTAGTTGGCTACTATGTATGTGATTAGTTTTAGAGAATGAACCTCTTTATTATGATCCAGTTGGCACTGACCTGCCAGCTCCGAGACTCATAGTTATCTTGCTGGGAGAGAGCTTTTAGGAGTGAAACACCTGCTTAAAGCGTTTATTTAACATGTTGAAAGGCAGAAACTAGAGGCTATCTATGCCCATTGTATTTTTCAGTGTTTAAAGATAATTCTTGATATAATCAAGGCTATATGTGATGACAAAGTAATAAGGAAAATTACAATTTGTAAATAGACTTTAGCTATTCATCATTAACCATAAACGCCTAACTGGTATGGGCGGAAAGTGAACAGCCTAAAAAACGTTTAATAACATTTCGTTGTGTGAGATGCGATCTTCGCTATACCTTAATTTCCTCGAAAAAACTGTCCGGGAAGTCAGAAAGCGAGGCCATTGCCGGTGTTGAACAGCACCTTCTTCTTTGAAACTGGAAGCGGCGTCGCAGTGCCGCGTTCGAACTTCCCGAGGACAACATCTTGAAAACGTGCTGGGTTTCGTTACGTTCCCGGCACACGGGAAAAAGGTGCATGAAAAAGAAACAAAATATGACGAAGGAACCGCTAGCAGGATGATCCCTACAAAATCGTGGACGACACGGATACGTCCTTCTTCGGCCTTGTTTTCACCAGGAGAGATACCTGTGCTGTCGTGGTTAGCAGTTCATCGTAGTCTGTACGCGAATGAAAAGATGCATTTACTGTAAGCTTCACGAGGGTTGGGTGTCCGATCTCAGCGCGCATGCGCGCTGTCCTTCAAGCTCAGCGTCAATAAAGAATCGGTCCCCAGGGGGAGTGGCAACGGCATGTGAAGATAACGCGTCGTCTTCGAGCCATCTGCAAGTCGGCCGGCGTTGCCAAGCAACCGACTTGCGCCAGTGCTTCACTGAAGCCCGTAGCTAGTGCTAGACGTAATAGCGAACGCAGCAAGACCGACAAAAGTTGGAATGTGATTCCCGGCAATAAGGCCAATATCTATTCTTCTCCCAGACAAACTCATGGCTCATGCCGAGTTATCCCAGAGCTCCCTAAATTTGCCCTCTAGTCCCCGTCAACCCTAAGATACCGCACTGGGCTCCGTTTGCTATGTGGAGGATCTCAAGGTCTGACACCACTCTGTCCCAGCACGCAGTTTCTTCGTCCAAAGTGCTAGCGGGACGCATAGGAGACTGCGTTGCAAGGTGGCTCTCTGCTCTATGAGTCCTATATGGACCGAACATCAGCTGGGCTTGCTCCTGTTTCTTCGCAAGTCCTCGGTATATTCGCAGCTCGGGAGAACCTCTCCGATAAGGGATGGAGGAAAGAACATATAATGGCCCTGCTTACGGTCCGAGTGTTCTACCGACCACCGCTCAGCCGACAAACGCATCTCAATGAAGTTCTATCTCTGACGACGGTTTCCTAGTCTGTAAAGAGGGCAGGTAGAAAACGGCCCGTCGCCACCGCCGTTTCTGCTTCGTCCCAAATCTGCCTACAGATCCAGAGAACCACTCACGCATCGAGAATGCCTGCTACTAACAGACAGGCGGGGCAAGAAAAAAGAGATGTCAGCTTCAGCCGCCCAAAGTATCCGAATCAGAAAGGTCGCTACGAACTCCCTCCCACGGAGGACTCCAACGTCATTTTTGTCCTCTGTTCCCAGGAGAAGGATTATAGCAGCGAAACCTGGAGATTACGAAGAATAGAGATTCTGAGAGAACAATTTAATCATGGCGTTTTAAGGGAGAGCTGATCGTTGTGCGGCATCAGGAATTCGTGCTGAACCTCGTTTGTTCCCGACTGCCCCATGCGTTCGTGGCCTGGCTAACTCAACTATCGCGTCCGGCCTGAAGCAACATAATAGAAGAAGACTTAAAATTTTTCTAACTGTCTATATCGTATTTGAACTTAAAGAAGTGCTTTCCCTAATAGTTATATAGATAATAGAGAGCCTTCGTTTACAAACCTATAAATAGCAATAAAGGCAAGAAAACAAGGAATTTGTTAATTCGTCTTCATTTATCGAACAAATGGAATCTTCCTGATTTAACTGCATATATATGCTATACATATGATATATATATATATGTATATATAATTTCGTTTATAAACTGCTTTCGGGTTTTGACTCCTTTCCTCAAGCAGGCCAGGTAGAAAATAACTGTCGTATCTATCAATTGATATTTCGAAGTTGGCCCGAAGCGTACATAGCAGATGAGTATCTATGTGAACGGAAAGCCGATGCAGTCGTCTCATAGAAGCAAACAACAAATTCATCAATATCTCTCTACAGTCACCTTAACTAGTCCATTATCAAAATTATATCAGCAAAATTTTCTTAATTTAGACCCGCCTAAAGTAGCTAGGTGTTGAAGAGTTTCGTCTGTGTAGCTTAATGGGTCTGTCAAGTGTTTACGTCCGGTACGGCCATTAAGAATTGCCTCAGACTGGTCCAAGTACAACACAAACGGTGCATACGCCAAGTTTCGAACTTGGATCATTACGTATAAGTTTAGTAAGAGCTGCAGCGTCATTGTACGCTTCGTTAAGTGTGAACCTATTTGGATTAAACTGAACTGACAAACTGGAACATTCAGACTTAATCTGCACCGCTAGATATTATGTATCGTGGCTGTTATTCCTAATAGGAGTGCTAGCAACAGTTGTTGTAGATTACGAATTCAATTGAAGCACATGGCCTTGTGAGGTCAGTGTTGGTTGCTTGATGTTTAGCTAAATATTTGTAAGCAATATATTTCTATTTTACTAATAAATTTTATTACTAATTATTATTAGTAAATAAATATTACTAATAATACGTACTCTACTGTGGGTAGCGAGAAATCAGAGATGCGAAGCAGAACATCACGCAAATGTAAAACGACGGTAACTTTTATTAGTTGCTTTATTAACGTCATTCGATGTCAGAAAGGTCCCTTTAAATTTTTTATTTTACTTTTTCTATTCAACAATATTATAAGCTTAAGTACCAGCAGTTTTTGGACACAGCTGAAGGCTATATAAAGCTCGCCATTTGAGAAAGTTCTTCTTTGGATTTCGCTTTTCCCATCTTTTACACAGACGAGTTTAGTGATTGTCATTTTATATTAAATGCTTTAAAAGCAAAGCCGCAACCACTAGATATTGTAAATTGTATTTATTGTAAAAAACTATAAACTATAAAAAAAAAACGAATGTTTCGGGCTGTACGTTCGGTACAGATAAACATATCATCAGACTTAGTTCGTAGAACTAACGAAACCTGTGTGATCAATTCACTCGCATCAAAATTAAAAATAATAATATCTGCAATACGTTGATGACTGATTCTTCCACAATAACAATGTAAAAAAGTAGTATTTGTTTACATTTATTTTAGCTACTCTTCTAGTTTTTTTTTATAACGAATCCATGCAGAAGTAGCGGAAACCAAATCAACAGGGAATGCTAATCGGTAGTGTGATATGTCTACAACTTGTACTCTGTATTACAACCTAGTAGTACGGTACCCGAATCTGTGAAACGGGTACCTCGGTGGATATTTTGGCTTCAGACTTTGAAATCCGTAGTATTCGTTTGGTCTTTCATGGCGTTGTATGAGAGTCCTGTTCGTCGTAAGTGTTACCTCACCCACGTAAACCTTACGTATTCCTTAAATATTACTCGAGTATTACTTGTTCCATTCTCTCTGGTACCGTACCATATTGAGCATGGAATACTCGTATATCGAGCTCAATGTATCAACTGAACTTCCTGCTTCATAGCATTATTAAAAGCGCCAATGCCAAAAAATAGGTTTTTTGTCAGAATATCTGAATCGACAAGTTCTCAGCTACCTTTCTCATTTCGGTATAGCTGTGTTAGCATTGCTTTAGGTTTTTGTCTGCATTGAAGGCTCGCACGAGCAATTTTGAAGGATCGAGCAGAAAAAAGATATATTCATCGCTTTTTCTACTGCACGAAACTTTTATTTCAATATCAAAATGTGCCTCTTTATGCCCAGAATCAAACTGAGACCATTTGTGCGTCATTCGGTAAGTAAAAAAAAACACGTTATCGCCGACAACATGTATTAGTAGAAGTACACTATCCTCGTCCTGAGATTTACATTATTACATTCACACCATACAAGGATTTTATTTCATATTGATTAGTGGGCCATCTTTAGCCTTTTTTGACGGTTAGGTTTCATGACTGTGTAGTAATAGTTGTCTATTCACCAATAACTGGCGCTGGTCTTTTGACGTTCGTGTAGCTTTGTGGGCCTCTAATATTATCGTCGAGATTTTATGAGAAAGTTACCTCTATTAACCTTTTTTGTCCTGTTGGTTCACCATCTTTGCCCACTTAGTTTACCGTTCTGTTACAGTTCTCTTTTATTTTTTTCTTTGAAATCGGAACGTTTTGGGACGAATGTTCTGGAGTTTCGTTTTGAGAATTTTTAGTTCTCTTTAGGTTATTCTGTTTATCTGGGCAATATTATAAAACGGCGCGTTTCTACACTAGGTAAATCTAACGAGCTAGCTATTACCGTAATTAGTCTCTTGAAATATCGACCAGCACTAAAGATCCCCCGTTATGTTGTACTAATATTGGACAATGACATCATAACAAAATTTATGTCCGGCAATGAAAACCGACATCCTCGCAAGACCAATACCAAATCGAGTCTTTTTCACGTTATCCGAGCCGTTGGTATATATCTATGGTTTAGCACCTTTCTATCGGCGGTTACTTACACAAAATGTTATTTGTACACAATTTGGATTTTGGCAGCTTCACAGCAATATAACATTTGATTAAAGTAATACTTGTGGTAAACATGTTTATAGATAAGTACATCGGAAAGACGCCGCACCGGCGGATCTAAACCACACGTAAAAATTGTATTTGTAAAGAATGGTCCCGCTCAAAAAACCCTCTCAACAAATCAGACTAACCAAAGGCTTAAATATCAATTTGTTTACTATATTTTTATACCGTAACACTTCCGTTGACAGAATGTGTCTAGCTCAAAGCTTGTTCATTCAAGACCATCGCAACGAACATCCACTGGCAATAGCCAGCCTTCGCTTTCTCTGAATATGATACCACGCACACAATTCAAATCGTTGGATTTAATTATAATGTATAGTTTTTTAAACAAAGCCGATATCGCATATCTCCAAAGCCTTGTCAGCGTGGTCCACGGCATCAACGGATGACCGACAAAAATAAGCGACTATGCCCCCCTCAAGATGTTGTTCGAACCAATTGATCGACAACGTAACGCCAGTGTAGCTCATTTGGAGATGTTCAACCAGAATTAGAAAATCTATGGGGTCAACGATCAATGCATGCGTATTGATTAAATACGAGAGCAGGACTAGTTTCAGCTGTCATGAGTCCGTCGATTTGTTAGTACAGGTACAAAACAGCACAACACGAAAACAAGTTGAACACAGCGAAAGCAGAACTTGTTCCTGTCCAAGATAAAAGAAGTGATGAAAAGGATCGTTTTGAAATCATAACTTTCGCAGTTATCTTAACGAATACTGTTAATATCAACGGTGTCAGCTGCAAATTATCATTAACGGAGGAGGACTCAAATCATGAGAAGAGCATGGCACTAATCGTCGCCGAGGAGACCAAACAGTGTCATCAGGCAGTAAAGCAGAGAGTAATGATGCTCAAGTATGGAGTATCCTCTACGAGGCTTGAAATTGCTAAATATTTAAAAATGGTATTTATCGAAAAAAAGCCACTGAAAAAAACTCTCGAAGTTTAAGTCAACAATACGCAAACAGTACCGGTGGATTTTTAAAAATTCGCGCGTAAAAGATGTTCTGACGTATAAACTTCGCCGGTAGGGAAACCAGTCGTGCGCTTTACTCAAACAGCACACTGATTCACTGATGAAACCTATCGGCGGCTCCAGAAGCGCGCTAAATGAAAATGGCGGATTTATGCAGGCACAATAGGTGAAACGGAAACGGTAAAGGAACGTCTACAGTGCTCATGCCAGTTGCTAGAATGATGTGAGTAGGTACCAAATCTCGATACCATGACGCCGAAAACCAAATTAGCGTTCGACAACCAATTCGAGAATGCAAGAGGTCTGCTTCTAAGATACCCAGATCGCCTGATTTGGATGAATTTAGAAACTGCGAGACAAACGCTAGAACAATTTGATAAACAATCAAAAAAGACCGCGAATGGTGTGTCAAAAAGAAATGGGTTAAAAGCGATAAAATCAAAAAGCCAAAGTGGCAAGACTATTTCAGTGGTGGACGTAAACCAAGCTGCGATGAAGAATCGACAAAAATACGCGGGCGATTCACAAACTGAACGAATGAGAGTGATCTTAGAACCCACACAACGTATAAACGCATTGAGTAACTCAAGCATGTGGCCGACATATACAAACAAAAACGCTCGGCGGGCTTGAAGACACAGAAGTCAGAAGAGCGGGTTGTACAAACATGTGCCAGTTCCGTGATAACTTAGTGAGTAATGAACTTACACATTATTATTGGTGACACGTTAAAGTCCGAGCTCACTTCATTTCGCGGCGGAAGAACATTTAGCCGCTTGATGGAAAGCCTTACGGCGATGCGAGGCACAGAACTTAAAACATTTAGCTTTGCCGTTATGCTAAGCCCTGCTAGCATAAATAGAGACAATATTAAGCTCGTTATTTTCTTAATTTAGTGATCGTTTATTGGATAGCGGTAATAGATGCAATGTCGTTTGATGGTTTCTTGCATCGAGCTGAAGAAGAAATGATATTCTGATGTGCATTTACTTGAGAGCCTATAAGTGAAACTCATTATATATACGCGTACTGTTTACGAACGAGCTGAAAATGTTTGTAACTGTTATTTAATTATTTCATGGTGTCTAACAAAAATTTCCATATAGGAAATGATCTACGTATATTAATCTATAGATAAGAGACACACCTTTTTCATGTTGCAGCCAAGTAGACTTACTAAATTGTTCTTTCGTCTACTAGGCAGACAGACTTTACTACGCGCCTTCTTAGCCGCAGCTATATCCACAAGATGTCAGAAATAATCAGCATGCTCGGTAAATTAAGAGCTTGAAAATGGTATATGAAGAACCCTGGAGATAACCTGGCAGGCTGTCTTCGAATCCCCTGGAAGTTAAAAAAGGTCTTTGACAGCGCACCTCTTTTTATTGACATTGTTGACCGAACACTTAAAATAAGGAATTTAAATGTAAGGATTATTATATAAAAATAACTTCATCAAATTACGTTACATGACCAGCTATATTGGCCAGGGTAAGGAAGGGCCAAAATTATTTCAGACTTCTATCAAATAAAACGCTATCTATTTCTAATTATAGGAAAAAATTATAAAAATGATGTCGCCTTAGAGTTCAGCTCAGCTAAGTGTTACGTGCATATATATATATATATATATATATATATATATATAGTCAAAGCGTCGTATTTTCATGCTTGTGGGACACACTTCTAGGCTTCCTTTTAACAGGGCCTGTAACAACGGCATTTTCATAGTACGCAGCCGAAGGAAAACACAATCGTCTACGATTGTATCACACACCTATATAACTCTAACTGTTCATTCGGTTGGTCAGTGCTAAATGGAGCGCAATGGACAATTACTTCAGATTCTTTACCCTTCGAAAGATTAAATGTTACGCTTCCTAGGATTCTACAAACGGGCTTAGCAATAGCAGTGCTTTGACGCTAGCGACATACCTATCCTCGATTGATAATTTCTAGGAAATTCATGGACTGTTATTTTCTATTATAAGTTACGAAATAGGAAACACACAGGTGAAGTTTTCTCTTCGTTTGTGGTGGTCATTCTTCTGAACCTTAGCGTCTTGCAAATGTTTACCTAAAGAGCCTCATTTTTCCCTATATATTGACCACTTGCTGCACGTTGACATAAGTCCTTTCTGGATTTTATTTAACCACTAATTAACGAACTTACTCTCAAGGGTATTCCGGGCGACAGACAAGATCAGTCTTGATGCGTCGTACTGGGCCCGAATACTGAACCTATTATGAACCCTTTCAGAAATTTGCACATTCGAACGTTATCTATCCCGACTTCATACTATCAAAAATCTACGATTTACTTTAAAAATAATAAAATTTTTAGGAATCGGTTTTTGACAGGAGTAGGTATACAAAAAATGGCTGCAAGTTTAGTGCTTCATTGTTTAACGAGTGCTTTAAGGTTAGGCATTTTCAAAGTTTATGTTATGGCTTTTAATATGCACGTATCAAAGTTGTATGAAAAATGTTCGACGTTTGCGCATTGGCTACGCATTCCTTCAGACCAGTGGCTTCTTTAAACATAAAACGAACCTGGAACTCGGTAGAATAAGCAAGCACTTTACCACTGCAAACCCATGGCTAATGAACCTATTGTACAACGCCTTTGCTTTTCATGGCTTAAAAAATCGCTTGGGTCTATGAAGTGTTGTATGAATATTTTTTGTTTGCTCTACACGCCTATAATAAGCTCCCGATAAATAAAAATAAATACAGATCTCAATTAAAAAACACTATATTTATTGCTAGATGCATTCATCAAATAGTAGACCTAAGCTCCAGATATATATATATATATATATACCTGAGACAGTTTTTTCTCGGGGTTATTATCGCTTCTTCTATTGTGATTATTGCTATTTACATAGAGCCATAACTGATCATCACAATCGTGCATTAGAAGACCCGAAAAGGTATCCACGCAAATGTTGTTTACATTATTAATTTACTGCCTGCGACGTCATATTTAGGCCATTACGAGCTCCCGGCATCCTCTTCCAGTAATTTTTAATCTATGGCAAATTGCGATGCTGCTTATCAGATGTGCAAATGAAGTTCCATTTATGAGTACACCGCAAAGACCGTTGTCTATATATGAATTCCTGCATTACAGAATGCCTGCATTGTACGGCCTGTCTTAAGCAGATATCTGAAAAGACAATGAAAAGTTGGTATAGTACAGTCCCGCGCATATACCGCACAAGTATGTGCCAATTCACCTTCATAGGTCTACCCTTTCGACCAAGTAGTCATCACTGGACCTGGAGCTATTTTGACCTTTTCCTTAGGTTTCCCGTTAAACATACCCCGTATTGTTGGAAATCGTTTTGGATATATACATGATGGCTTTGTTTTAACTTATAGAAAGAAAGGGAAACGTGAAAGCGTTCCTGTCAGGTGCATGCAGACTTGTGCGCGTTTGCATCATTCATACAGCGGCATCGATTGTATGATCTAGACACTAATGGCGATGACGATGCAACGGCACAATTGCACGTTTGCCATACTCGAAGCACGTCTGAAACGAGCATGTTAAACCGATCGCATTTGGACAATATAGGGGAGAGCGTCTCGTTTGCTACTATTCTCATCTCTATTCAACAGCGGATTTTGTTAGATTTACATAATACTTATAGAGGACTATCGCTAAGACTATATAAAAGGTATGTGCTTAGTGGTAATGCCCTTTAATTGAAGTCTCAAGTGAATACAACAAGCGAATCTATCAGTGCAGCCATGACGAGAATTTGAAAATGTTTTCCCAGGACTGACCAATTTCATGCAGCACCACTGGCTTATTTATAATATAGAATCTAATATATCGCAGTCCCAACTATGCCATAAAAATGTGTGTTCGAAGAAAATGTGTGCCCTTCATCCGCTTTCAAAGATGAACGAATCAAACTGACTTACAGGATCTGGTATTTTAATTAGAAGTACGATTTGAACTGATCACTAAGGACATTTCTAGTTAAATGTTCCTATACCACTAGATTATACGACCCATGTATTTAACAACAGGTTTTTCTTATCACTCTTCTTTATCATTAACAGAGCGTTGTCGGAGCTCCCTGTTGTTCTTCTCACAGGTGCCCTCCTGACCATTTCAACAAAACATGCTACGATTTGGCAGGATGGGCAATGCAATATAAGTTCGACGCCATAAGCCACGCTCAGCTATGCTTAGCAGTTCATACTTTTTTCAAAAGTTTGGAGTCCGTTATCGAAACTCGTTTACCCATAGAGTCAAAGAAAGGTTCAGCGAAGATACAATCAGAAGTTTCTTCATGATACTATTCATCTTGTTGGACCAGCCCAGAACTGAAACATCGTTAATTGACTATACCTGGTGATGTTGTTAATAGATGAGAAACACTTAATTGCATCAATTGCTAATAATTATCGTTATAATAATCTTGTAGTATCATATTTCCTCCGTGAGTAAAGGTACTTTGAATTGAGCCCTGATGGATACGTTGCTCCTCGTGAGTATGTTCTTAACACTGACCATCGTCAAATAAATGTACAAGGGTCTAACAAATTTGAGGTCTACAACATATCGTTTCTACTGTATCTTTCATTGACCTCGTTTTCTGTTTGACGTCTAGAAAACAGAGACTTCTTCTGTGGTTAAATATAAATACATACTCAATTTCATTATGCGATCCGATAACAAGTTGATCATGTTCCTATAATTTGTCATCCCTCTGGTATCATCTGGCGGTAGTACCATGACTTGATAGTCGTAACGACGACTTTTGTTATTTGGAGGATATCTTCAGACAAAATCTTCTACGAGTTCTCTGGCAAGCCGCGATATGTGGATTATAATGCCTATGACTGGTCATCCTTTACGCTACGCATGGGAACTTTTTAGCACGTTTTCTCATTCTTCTCACAAAGATACTAATAATTATATGTTGCACACAAGTGACTACTTTGACACAGTTTAATTTTACAACATGTAACTCAACAGTAGTAGTAGTAGTACGTAATTATAAAGCTAATAACGACTTAATAAATAGAACAATGAACCTTTTTGGAATATTTGTATATATCGTAGTATGTGTCTGTGTTGCAGCACGGTCGAGTCAGGATCTCTCAGATTTTAGTCGAAGTGTCGGGTGCTTTTATGAGACAACTACATAATTTTTACTCCCCAAAAACCCGGTTGAACCGGATCGAATAGTTCCACTGACTCAACCGAAAGAGTTGACCGCGAGACTTGTGACCCAATGCAGTCGTGTTATTGCTGTTATTACGAGTCAACATGACTTTATTCATTTTCATGATCAACCGATAGAAACTAACCGATGTAATTTATTATGGTTATAGTGAGAAATATTAATAAATGTGATTATTCCCTGTACATATTTGTTGACCTTTTATTTTCCTTTTGGTCTACCCTGTTTTGCGAAGAAATTCTAGCGCATCCGGCCACAGTCGTTGGGGGAAGCGCTTGTTAAACGCCCACACTCCATTGGGCCTGTCACGACGAATCTGCGATGCTGTGACCCTTGCCGATGTGTCGTTGGTAATCTTAGGCAATTCTGCGTCACTTGATTCCTGGATTTTTTCTTCGAGATAGGTTAGCAGCATGACAGGAGAGATCTCTTCGCAAAGCAACAACGTATTCTGTTCATTTAGGCTGCAGCACGCTAGCAGCGTTGGGATAAGAATATCACGCAACTGAAATACCAAAGAATAGCTAAATTAAACAACAGAATTTTTAGATACCCTATATGATCAGCCGGTATCTGTACAAAGTCAATAATGAAATGTTTTTAATGCATTTGAACGTGGCAAAACTCGTATTGTCTAAACAGCGAAGATACATGTATGTCCTGCTAGAATAAAGTAACACCTTCGCATAATCCTAACCATATTATCACAGAAGTAGTCGAAGGGAAGCTTGCAGAGCATTTGTAAGACGGTTGGCTGGCCTCCCGTGTGGATTACATTCTGATTATCTCGATTGTCCACAGCGAAGAATCCCACTAACAGAAGGACCTATTAGGGTAAAAGAGGCCACGAAACAACATGTTAGATGTGGGCGCTCCAAAAACTGCCTTGCGCTCCTAATACTCTGCCAATATTTGTGGGGACATGAAGTTATTATTATTATTACGTGCTTCTTACACACCCTATTCATCAGAAAAGCACCACACGGTAGCTAATTAGACACAGATCAGAAAGAAATCATCTCCAAGGAGTGTACCTGATGAAGCAACTTCCGTTCCTCAACCTCCTGGACGTGATGACTGCAGTACCACAGCAAGTAGCTAGCAATATGGCGGATTTGAAGCGATACGCCTTCTCTGCCCAGCACTTCTTGAAAGGTAGAAAGTTCGGCGCTGGCCAGATTTGTAAGAAGATGACACGCTGCCAGCGTGATTCCGACCTGTCTTTGGGGCATTCGGGCCGGGACACCATTGTCTTCTTTGCCCCGAGGTGTAGCCCCTTGACACAGCAACGTTGAATACAACAAGGCCACAACGCCCATTGCATCTGTACGACGCAAAGTAAATAATAGTTGGGTACTATCAGAGGGTGCCTCGTCAGACAATGCGGTCTGGGCTTGGGTAACGGTTCCGTTATTTTCTACCGCAGCTAGCAAACGGACGAGACCAGCCACGAAATGCAATGCGTGCAACAATGTATCGGATACAACTTGTGATTCACAGTCCCGTGGTCTCTGAATATACGTGAAGTAATACATAAGCTTATCAAGGATTCCTACAATCGAAACATGAAACGAAAATCACGCGTCAATTGTTAGCTTTTGGCGAGAAAAAGAAAAAAAGAACTGGTTCTTGTTTGACACCGTTGACGGCATATAATAATATTTCTACTATTGCAAATATGTTATACGTGCTTTTTGGTTAGATAGCGAAAGAACTACTAATTATTACATACAAATAACGTGAAACAAATGAGGAGTGAAACAGAACGAGTAATACAAAATGGGTCAAAAATACTCTCAGAAGTTTGACAAAAAATAAATAAACAGACATTGTATATATATATATATATATATTACACTGTACAGATGTAAAATACAGATTCTCAAAGTTAAAAAATATTATGGAACTTTTGCCCCATTCGTGGATTAAGTCTAATAAAGTTTACTGCATACTAACCAACGCTGACGGTGTAGCTAATTAAATCAACGACCCTTCCTCGTAGGTCGCCGATATCAGGTGTCACTGCCAGTCTGTCGCACAACACCTGAAGTACGTGGAAAAGGCAACTAGTGAAGGCGCAGCTTGCAACTAGCGCCTTTGGCGGGGCTGGATTATCGTCCGGTACTAAAATTGCTAGAAGGTGTTGCTGGCATTCGATTAACGCTAGTGCCCCATTACCTTGAAGAAGTTCTTTGGCAGCCTTCCCTTGCGTAGCGTCGATTGCCAGCCGCAACAAGTGACATGCGCGACCGAATGCTTTGGCTGGGATCACACTTGACACCAGTAAGTTGTTGCGCTGCACTAATTTGGCGATCTATAGGAAAAAACATGGCGAAGCGAAAAATTAATGTTCGAACATTATCCACTCATCCTGTCTAAGGGGAGAAGGGCAGAAGTATTTATATGAACGCTGACGATTTAATTAAGGCCAAACATAGTTTATCTTCATAATTTTATCACTGTTAAGAAACATACCTCGATGAGTAGAGGTAAACAATCCCTTGAGGAAAGATATTCCGCCAGTTGCTGGTCAGCCTGAGCAGATTTCCCACCTAAACGTTCTAAATCGCCGAGAGGCCGTTCAAGTGCATTGCACGCGTCCGTTGTCCAGACACCCTTGACATTTTTGTTCTGTTGCAGCACACGTGCGAGTTCCCGCAGCTGTTTGTCTAATGGTCGGCTCTTTCTCTCTTTCGCAGCAGGCGATGAATTGGTCTCCTGAAAGGTGAGAAGTGCGCAAAAATTTTAGCTGTGGCATCGTAAAAGATAAAGGCATAGCAATAAAATTGAACATTCAACTAACTAATGTAACTTATTATACTACTTAGTTGTTTTGGCCATATATGTACTAATAATAAATCAGTAACCGTTTGAATAATCAAACCGGTTCTTACAGCTTGTTGGTTTTCATACAACTTGCTTTTCAGAAGGATTTTCTGCTTCAGCTTACGACATCTCTTCTTCTGAATGGCTTTAAGGTGTTTCCTTAGGGCCTCAGTCTCCGCGATCAGTTTCTCATCAATCGGCGCATCGATGATGTACTTCAGACTGTATGAATGTATGTCTTCTGACAGCGTATCATAGCTCTCTTGATCCCTCAGCATCGCCTCCTGATGCTTACCGCTTTTCAGATGACTCAGTAGATACACTTCGGATGTAATAAGAACGTTGCAGGCGCTGCACATCTTCTTCGTTTCGTACGGTGTACAGCCAGGTGCGTTAACTCGTTCTCTAACTAACTCATTGATCTTTGAAATCGCCTGGCGTTTGGCTTCCTTTTCCTGTTGCTGTTGCTGCAGTTTACGATCCCGATCGGCGCGCCGTTCGAGGATCTCATTCACTTTAACTTGCCATTCTTCTTCGAGGGCTTTTCGGCGTTCTTCAGCGGCCGCCTCTCGAGCCGCCTTCTCTTCAAGTTTTTGCTGATGTTTCTTTTGGCGCTCTTGTATCCTCATGTCACTTTCCTTTTCTCGCTCGAAGATATCATGACGTTTATTCTGTGCCTCGAGCGTATTTATGAACGCGATCTCCTGTACCTTCTCTTTTTCATCATGGGCCTTCTGTACTTTACGGCGAAGTTGTTCCTCGCGATTTTTATCGGCTTTGTCCTGCTTCTCCTTGGCCCGCTGTAAGAGAGTTTTGGATTCTTCTTCTTTGGCAGCTTTATGCTCTTCGACTTTACGTAGGATATCGCGATAATTTTGTGCTCTCTCTTCTTTTAGTCGATCACGATGTTCCTGGGCCTTAGCTTGCCGTTGTTCGTGCTTTCGTAGCGTCTCTTCTGTGACGCCCTTCCTAGGCGACGAAAGCTTTTCATGAACCTTGGTAGCCCGTCCTGGCACGCGTTGCTCAATTTGGTCCAAGAATTCAACCTGATCAGCCAGCGACAAGCCCTGCTTATTAATCCAGATAGCGGCCGCCATGCGGTCAGTGAAAAAATCCCCTTCAAACGGCCCATCAGTCGAAATGTTCTTATCCACACTGCGAGGACTCACCTCGCTGACAGAATCGCTTCGTACTGACTCTGGAATGAATATGGTAAGCTCCTGGGGTACTCCTTGGGGATCATTACGGCTGTCACCGAGAGTCACAGACTCTGTACTGACTTCCATGCTCGAAGATGTTGAACTTTTCTCCTCAGCTGACCCTGAACTACGCTTATCAAGAGGTATATATGCATATGTAGCCTTTTCACATACACTAGATCTCTCATTTACTTGTGATTTTCTTATGGTTGAATCCCTCTTAATCTTGTTTGTTTCCGCCTTGGCCTTATTATCCGTTTCCTGTCTGAGTTTATCTGCAACCGTTGCGTTTGGCCTACTTTTTTCTTGAGCCCTGGATGTGACACTTGAAGTTCTTGTTGTAGGTTTTACCATAGCTACTCGGGTTGGCGCGACTTTTGAGACCGGCCTGACGCTAGCCTTTATCGGGGCGCTTTTAGGTTGAGGAGTCTTGTGCACGACTTTTGGTGGTACAGGATCATTTTCCTTGTCACGTCGTTGTACGATCGAAAAAGTTGTGTGACTTTTCTGCAGTGGTGGCATAGTTCCACCACACTGCGCTCCTTGCACTGTGGCCAGCTTTTGAGTTAGCGCTGGTAGCGATTTTGTAATCCAGGACTCATTTTGGGGAAGGGACAGTGATGGCCTCTTGAAGACAGTGGCCGGCGAACCCGAGGGCCGCTTCCGAATAATTTCCGGCACAGAAGGAGATCGAATTACCAATGGACTCGGAGACTTCGCCTTCACTTTGTGATGATTGACAACCTTCCAACCATCGTCGTCATTGTTCGTCTCATTATTTGAATCGACATTAACACCGAGCCCGTTGTTTGCAACTGATAATGCGCGCATCGAGCCACCTTTGACCGTTTCCGCCCATGACTTGCTTGAGGTGGAGCTGCTTAGGGAGCTTGTTGACTCGCTCATCTTAGTGACGTTCGGAGTCCTTTGTGATAAGATAGTTTTAGTATCGGCCCCCATAGTAGTTGCACAGCGCCTTAGCAAGGACGATGTAGTCTGTTTGACCGGAGGAGGACCTGCTGTCTTAGGTACAATTTGTTTCCTGAGGGTTGAGGTTGGTGAAGATGCCAACAACTTCCGGGCATGCGAGACCGCTAAACCCAAGGGTTTTTTGGTCACGGGAGTAACGGCAAGTGGTGCTTTTTGAGTCGTATTGCGCGTCGACAAAATGGACTTCATAGGAACGGGCGACGACGGTGAGTTCTAAAATGAACAGACAATTACATCAGTATACAAGTGTTAATAAAGTGAAGCCGTTAAAATCAGACCATATCCTTGCTTGGTGTTGCCTTCCATCGTTTTATGGTACTTCTTTATTTACAAACCTTTGAAGTCACCCTAGTTGCAAGGCCACTTGCAGGTCGATTGGGCGTAGGGGGCGGAACTCGCGTTCGATTATCGTCAGAAAGTTGTCCGGAATTGATGGTTTGTACGGCAACGGTACACGTTTCCTTTGCTTGAGGTAGCGGGGAGTATCGCGGGGGCACAGGTGATACACGAGCCATGCGACTGAGGCTTCCTCCAGGCTTTCGAACCTCCCATGATAGTGAAGATGGTCTGGATAGACATATTGATAAGCAGATGTTCAGTAAATGAAAAACGTGTTTGCATATTAATTATTTGCGTAGATATAATAAAATTGCATTTCTAGTGAATTATCTTTAAACTGATCTCGCTTAGTGTACTAAATTAATAGAAAATGTCTACATATTTCGGGCACTGAATTTCGAAAGGTTATACACGCAAATATCACGTATGTGTGCCTATAGCTACCACTTTTACTCAATTCGAAATGGAAATCAATTGAGAAAACAACAGTGTGTACGCACCTGCAAGGCTCGGGGGTTTTCTCAAGTTTGTCATTCAGCCGAATCAGCTCAATAAGAGCTATTAATTCTTTTGAGTAGTTGTTAAGGACGAGCAGTGCTTCCTTGCATGCCAGAATATCCTGGTCGCGCTCACAGACATCACAGATTTCATCTTTTGCTTTTTGTAGGTTATCAAGCAAATACGCCCAGTATCGTGCTCGATAGCCACGAGCCCGTCCAAGTGACGATGAACGGGTTCGCTCTGCACACATGTCTTTGCACGTAGACATCACTACTGATTCGCCTAATTCAACAAATAAATTGTAAACAGAAAATTGCCAAACACTAATTTCAATCGCGTAGCTAATTTCAGTAGCATGGATCCGAAAAAGAAATATAGTTATATGATGCAACCGACAATCACGCTCGAGCGAGCTGCTAGCTTGGCGAATTTACAATTCATTGTACTGAAAATATACTTTATGAACAAATTCAGAAGCAGAAAATCACGTTAATTGATATGCAATCTACCAGACTAGCTTTGAAGACCCTAAGATTCCAGGTCTCTGGCGGTATCGCTTATTTCGTTTACTTTGGGAGTCTTTAGGCTTTGGATACTAGAGTGTAATTCTACAGAAGCTTACCTCATCTGATCTCGGCAGTATAAACAACAACCTCGGGCAATTACCACCGGGGCACACCTCCTTCAAACATATCTATGCGGATAGATAAGCGCTATAATTGGATCGCCTGCCCATATTTACTGGCCATTGAAAATAAAATGCTCCTCCTCACGTACCCAAAAATATATTCGAGCGGGTGCTACCACACTGAGGGACGGTTTAGTGAACGACCGACAACATATAGGCCGCTTTTACCGCGTATCAATTGAGTGAAATAGAGTGAACACCATTGCACTCTTAGCTAAATACTAACCTCAACCCAAACAGCACTCCTATGGGACCGACAAAAGCTAATTTATTTATTGTTCTCCTAAAATGCTTCGTTTATCAGAAAATAATAAATTTCAGCAGGCGTTGTGACGCATATTCCAAAGATTATGCTTATAACCTTCAGAGTTAACAGAGACCTATGACCAATACGAAACTTGGCTTTAGCTAACATGACAAACCGGAAAATCATATGGGCCCAGACCAACAGCGTGTCATCGACAAACCTCGATGAACCAAGAGCTGCCTCAAAATGGTCAAGCCTATCGGCTTAAATAATACTTCTGAAGTCCGTCCGAAGCGGTAATTAGCATATTTCGATGGCACAACTTGTAATACATTGAAATGAAAATCATATTCGATCGTGGGTTTTCAACGCAATCAGACACGTCAAAATCTTCGATAGATTTGTGATAGAGTTGTTTGCTTAAATAGAATTTTATAAATAATGTCAGCGAATACGCTAAACTTGCTTACATAATGGTGACGGTTATTGCGAAGCAGATACCAAGGTCTGGCCCTAACTAATTTTCACTACATTAATTTCGGTTTGCTATACAAACAACCACTCAGTACGTAAGCTGAATTAGACAGAAATGAGCGAAAATCACGAGTCCCAAATCGCACTCTTGGCTAAACCCATCCTTTGTTCGCCTTAAGAATTTGTTAATGTTGTCATCGTAGCACCGCATTGCATAAACTTAACTCTAGACTTCCAGGAGTTGCTTTGATGGGACACTTATAACGTTACAACGTTACAATAACGCTTCTTCTACTGAAAGTCATTTAGTAATAAATCAAGCAATGAAGAAGATTATTAAGATTACTAGCAAATTAAAACCTAAAAAAAGCGGCAATGTATGGGGGCCGCCCAAGTTTCCATTAATTTTTTCGCGCTCTTGAACCATCTTCTTCTGCTTCTGTCCGCCTCTCCTACAAATCGAACCGGATGAATAAAAATTTGAGTGAGTAAAAAACCTGCTCGTACACACTCCTATGTGTGTTTATAGAGTGCTTTAGGTAGATAACTTCCTTTACTATTATGTTAACCTTAACAGGTTATGTAAATATATACGCGTATATATACTTTTCATACCAGAGAAAATGTAAAACTCGACTTTTAGGCGGGCCCTTTTACAGATTCTAACCGTGGCTTTTGACGTATATTTTCTACAGCCTGTTTTCGGATAGGATAATATACATTTAGTACAGATGGAATCTTGAAAAAATATCCCTAGGCTACTTTGTACATAATTCCGATTTTCCTCGGTCCCTCTCGAAATGAGGTTACACCTTGCATGATTCCCATGAAGTATCAATTCATAGAAAACCACAGTACGTCAAGCCTCCAATGCAATTCCATCCTTTTATAAGTTCTTGTATAAAGGTACAAATTTAGTAAATTACAATTAATAATTGAATCACTTCGGCACGTAATGAAATCGAGTCTTTAATTGTTCACGATATAATGACTCGACCAGATCATAAGCGGCCCCACTAACAGCGATCATCAGCCGTAGTTATTTCTCGGTGAATCGTTTTGGACTGACTTACTAGATCACAATATAATGGTAATGGCATTGCTCGTTAATACCTTTACGATACACACAGTTGATGAAGCTTGCCATTCAGAGGCTGGCTTGTGAACACCTTGGTAACTGAAGGCACATTAGAATTAGACGATTAAATAAGACGGAATGTATACCGTCGACTTCTGGTCAATTAGTATCTCATATTCACAATTAGGCCAAAAGTCCACTCAAGTTCGTAAGGGCTTTTATCTACCCTGGGCTAATTAAGTCTGTCTTCTACCCCCTGCACTATTAGCTTATTTAAGAGACACTAAATCCGATCCATACAACGCGGGTAAAAAAAACAGGAAGAACAAAAGAGAAAAAAATGTATTTATGAGATATGTCATCAAGCTGTTACAAGCGAATGCGACAAACGCTGAAATAAAATGGTTCCTGAATTAGGTGCCGCAGATGAACTTTGGTTGGTAAGTATGCCGTTTTCTGAAAACTATTAAATGAAAGCCGCTTTAGTTAACTCTAAAAACAATTTATTAAAAGGAAAATACAAAAACAATTAATTAGAAGAAAAAATTTGTCTCGAACATCAACGCTCACTGGCCAAGTTTTAGTTTCTTCAATGCCCTAGCAATGCGGAAATTCATCGAAGATTGATGAAAACGTTAGGTAAGCAGACTCTAAGCGAAAGCATAGTACGCGAATGGTGTAAGCATTTCAATACGGGAGCTTATGGTGTTGAAAATCACCGAGGAAGTGATCAGATGTTTGAACCTGAAGGATAAAAACGCTCTGCCACAATCGAGGAGGCTTTTTACTCAGAGCATAGAATCTAAAGGCTCTGTTGGCCAACACCGGCATTTCCTATGTGATGTGTTAGAAAATCATAACCGAAAAACTGAAAATGCGAAACTGAGTAGAAATGAATCTTCTGCGAATTGATTCTAAGCCAGCTGATGTATGTAAGTATGGAATTTACGGAACTTTAATCAACAACAAAAACCTGCCTGGAGGATACCGCCGCCATAGACGACGAGGCATGGTTTAATCTCTATTGCCAACCAGAGAAGAATCCGACAATAGAATGGCGTTGCTCTGGAGAGAAATAACATTCGTTGGCGAGTTATCGAGTACGTTTCGACGTATGATTATAGTAGTTCTCAAACTGAGTATCTGCTTCTTTTTTTTTTTTTTTTTTTTTTTTTGGGTATAAAATACTTGTCGAAAATAAAACAATGAATACAGCTCGCTGTCTCGAACTTTTTATGAGAAACTCGTGTACTGTTGGCACGGCAATCGAAAACACGCGGTCTGGCTAGTTGATGGCAACGGCGGACCTCATCGTTGTGTCTCGATTACTTCCTGAATTCAGTAATGGAATATGTGACGTTGCGATAAATAGGTAAAAATAAAACAAAAGCCCTAACATAAACTAATTCATCATTCTAGCCCTATTAGTTCAAAAGATATTTAATTTCAAAGTTATATTTATAAATGTAAAGATGACGATCTTTTTTGTATTTGCACATATAAAGACGTAGATAAACTGAATAGAATTCAAAAATATTAGTCAAGTTTTAAAGAAGGCAATATTCGCACGAAGCCGAGAACGAAATCTTGCAAGCCATAATATGAAAAATAAAACGGTACCAAAATATGGCACCTCGCGAAAATAAAATAGCCGACAAATCTGATTTTTCACTCCTAACTTTTCGCAGAAAATTCTCACCACAACTGTTTGAAAACGGATAAACAAATTTAAATACAGCTGATGCCATCGGGGCCTTTCCAGAATGGTTTCGGTAGACGAAAAGCGTTTGCTAAGAACATAGTAGCTTATCAACGTCAGACGATTAATTACAGACTTGAATAACAATCATTGTAGAATCAGAAGATCTGCGCATGGGGTTATCGATAAAGTTTAAAGTTGGCTGCTAACCGGAGTACAATATGCGTGGGATAAAAGCGAGTAATCGAGACCCATTGTGCAGTCGTCAATTGCATTAAAACAATTAACTCTTATTGATGATATATTATATATTAACTTGAATATGTATGACATTGCAAGTGTTATCGAAAATGTTGTGAATAATTTTGTAAGAATGCCACTTTTTAGATATATATATATATATATATATAAGTGGTAAAAAGGTTACTAATAATAACTAGGGCTCACTTTGACTTTAGGTTTGTTATATGCGTTTATATGTTCATGCTTTAAAAAGGCTTCTTCCTGGAACGCGACCGGTAAAAAGCATGATAGCATTGAGATGCTTAGCTGAAGAGTTCACTGTTGGCAGTAGTGGAAACGCAATACTCAAGCGAAAAGCAAATTTTGGCAAAAAAGATTCTTTAAATGTTGGTTAGTCATGTCCAGGTGGAGTGAACTAAACCAGGGGACTCATTTCTTGCACAGCCTAAATTAGTAAACTAGTAAAAATAAAGAGTGAATAAAAATGGCTAAACATGCATGCAATCTATAAAAAATGTCAGTCAACTCACAGCAGCCATATAGCCAGACACACAACCTAGGTCAAACAAACATTCTTATAGGGAAAAATAAAAACTTGGCTTACACATTATTTGAAAGCATATTTAGTGGCCTTGGTAAAACAACTGTTATCATTCCAACTCTGACAGATTTGTACCGGTTCCACCACCACTTGATGAATCTGTGTTTGTCACATAAATCTCAATGGTTTAACTGGCTTGCGCTTTGATGTGTCCGCAGATTTAACAGCTCAGAGCGAACGTCTATTCTGTTGAACTGACCCTAGAAGCCAGAATCAACGGTTCTCGATTGCCTCACAACGTACTGCACTACTATCCCTTCTCCCCGTTGACTGTGTAATACGATTGCTATTCAGACTCTGAACTATGCCGAACGGTTTATATTCAACATAATATATGAAACACTGATCGTATGGTAATCTGCGATAATTTTACTCTTGCATAAACATTCAACTCAGTGTTTGGAGGCTCCGCGTGGCAGTAGGCCAAGAGGCTTGTGTCGTACTCACACTGATTCTGACATAGAGCTCTCACCACATCCAGAGCTGCGTATCTATAGGAAAGGGCCAGAATATAGCCAGAATAATCGAAAAATGAGCCCATGCTTACCATAGAAAATGACATCATAATTTATTTAAACTCAGCAAAGAATACGCCGGGAGACTTTATGTATATTCGATGCAACACGCCTCTATGAAGCTCCCACAGGGAGCTCTAACTGATCACGTACACTCCCAATAAACAGTAAAATAACCTGGTCTTAAACAAGAAAACAGACATCGAAATGATGCTGCGATTATAAACGGTGAAGAAAGTGAAAAAAATATAAAACCAATTTAACCACCGTCACTTGAAATCTATGGTTCCAATTCCAAGCAATCTATAAAAGCCCAACGGGAAACTGCGCTTGGAACTTACGTGGCCGTACACTTGAATGGTATGCAATTTCTTTAATAACAAATAAGCACAGCTGTGCTCCTGGATGATAATTCACTCATTTAAACGTTGTTACTGATACCACGAAACATGCAGGATAAAAACCGACCTGCGAAAACAAATAAGTAGTAAAAAGCGAAGAAAATAACTAGTTGATTCGATGATTAAGCAATGTACGAAAAGAACCATAAATATAATAAAAGTTAAAATTATTATATGCAACATTTTATAATAAAAACATTCTACACAGATGCCTATATTAGCCTACCGAGAATTCCGTGCATCATGATTATGTTCCTTAGCGGAAAACCTTCTTCCACCGTCTTGCAACTCACATAGATGGATCGATTCATCACTGTATTCAATCAATTGATTTCCTTCGTTAAGATTTCGTATGGAAGCCACCGCCCTAAGTGGCTTCCCTAACTCCAGCGGTCAGATCCTGCATCCGACAGCCTACGTTCAGTTTCAGTGTACTAAAGTAAGAGCCACAGCAGCAGCAGCAGCAGCGGCAAAGTCGTTGAATAGCGCCTGCAACATGCATGTCTGCATCACAATATGTCTGGTCTTTCCCTCAATATCACTTTTCACACATGCACACACAGACGCAAAAAGGCAAACAGACAAGCATTCGTTCATAACCCTGCCGTCATCTCTTTACTGTCCATTTCGCGATGACTGTTCCTGTCTGGGATAGCCGTTGTTTCGCCGCCGTTGCCAGCGGTTGTTTGCAGGGAGTGAAACTGATTATCGAACTCAGAGCGGCGACTTCGGCGCTTGGCGCAAGAAGGCGACGCACGACTCACGCAGCAGTTCGATGGCGTACGAGTTCTCTTTTTTACAATACGCAGAGCACATTGAGAAGCTACAATTATAGCTCTACGACTACGGCTACGAGGAACGGGTTGCGCACGTATACTAACTCTGTTTGCCACTACTTTTTTGAGACAAAAAACAAAGGCCTCTCTGCCAGCTTCTGTCGTTACTGATACTGACGGCGTGGCGACAAAGGATGACCGCTCGCATAAAGATCACATAGTAACCAATATTGTTATAATACGCGCGGTACATGCCACAGCTCAGCACACAGTGAAAAAAGACGTTGAAACGTAGTTCATTTCTAGATGTAAACAGAGTTTCCGGCGTCGAACAGAGACGGACGTCAATCAGGAATAAGATTTGTTCCAGGCTATGGCCGTTTCCATTTTCAGCCCTGTCCACGAGCGTAGATTGTCTTGAACGATGAGGATAAAATGTGACAAATTTCACAGGATGTGGAAAACATAGATTTGATATTTGGTGGAAAGCTTTCGAGTCTGCTCGAAACTGATTTTTGCAATGGACGCGATCTGTATTTAGTGCGCATGTTAGAACGATATCAAAGCCACCGCTATAGAATAAACCATTTAAGTTATACACTTAAAGGACGAAATAAAGAATAGAAACAGCCATTTTAGCCAAACTAACAAACCTCTTTCGTTGACAGCCTCAGTGACTGGTCTATCACTATAGAGTCATGTTTATTTTTTACACGTGAGCTTCGTAATGCGCCTGATTTCGAGGATGATTCGTCGTTCATATTTGTTGCCAATATCGAATGCCGGTATGTTAATAAATATTTAGACAGAGTCGTAACAAGAGGTGCGCTGCCATTTATGAACACGTAGACGTATAATAATAGCCTCTTTCACGTCAATGTATCACCATTCTTGCGTATACTGAACACATATTAATGGACACTTCACGACGGACCTGTGTTTAATCCGCTATTAGCGATACCAGAAAAAATCAAATTTTTTTTAAAACAATATCACAAGCTTCTCTACATGGCAAAAGATTCACCTTTGGCATTTGAATGAACACTGATGCCGATTGTTAAACGTCTCTAAGCCGGACAAATCCCGATCGGGATTATAGGCTCTATGGCTTGAAAGTAACTGTTGACGTTGTCGTTAGCCTCCATGTAGATTTTTAAAATACGACCAAAATCCCAGTGATGTAAAACGAAAGCTTCACATTAGGTATTATAGTGAGAGGATTCGAAAATTGATCAGCAAGGCGCAAAAAGAGCTATTTTTGATAAACCCAGATTGTAGCCGACTTAGCTTCTAAGTAAAAGCGTGGACTAAACAACAGTTACAGTGAACAAGCATGTTGGTCAAGGATACTCCTAGAACAGCTTTAAAACGTATTTAAAAAACCAAATCAGCAACTGAAATCGCACGCATGTTTTTACACGCAATACAGTAAAAATGTATACCTGTACAGGTACATTTTGTACAGGATATTGGGCAGCCACACGAATACTTCTCATGAAAAGTTTATTGCTTGCCAGTTTGCAAGTCAGCTAGGTATGCCCCAGAATTGTACAAACGCCCACTGTAATGATCCTATGTATACCGAATACACAATGCAAAGTTGCGTTTAAGGTACTTACGAACCCTCATCATTTATTGCTCATATGTGCAAGCACACAGATATTGTTAATAATCAGCACGGTGGAGTAGGTGGAGCGAGGACGCAGACCTGTTCATTTCAATTCATTTGGTTTCCTCGAAGCCCTCAGCTTCCCTAATCTCAAGTTTACTGCTCAACAGAGTACGTAACCTCTCAGCGATTCGTTAGGCCTGTTCTTGTTTCAAGAAACTGGGGCTCGTAATGAAGCGCAATTAGCCTGCTAAGCAAGAATAACGTGGCGAACTAATTCACGCACCC